ATTATTATACATACGATTTGACCGTGATCGAGCATGTAAGTGGGATGAGAAATATATTTGCGACCTGAAAACATTGCGCAATAGGATTGTGAATTTGTACAGTATAGTTTTTAAAATTTATTTCTTGTTATTTAACCTTGCACTCGGTGGTCTGACGGTGGTCTGCAAATAATCGAGTCTGGACCAGACAATCCAGTGATCAACAGCTTGTCCATCGATCTACGCAATTGGGATACGATGACATGTGTCAACCAAGTCAGCGAGCCTGACCACCTGATCCCGTTAGTCTCTCTTACGACAAGCATGGGTTGCTGAAGACCAAATCTTCGCAGGTGCACTGTATAGGTAGCTTCCTCGTCTTGAATGTAATCCGGTTTCGAATCTTCGCGTGGTTGCATTGTAAAGGAAACTTTTGTTGGAGTCCATCACCTTGGTTATTGCATTGTTGTCAAGCCTTTTAATGTTAAATGTCTTGTTTCTCACGACCCACCCACCCTTTATACGTTTTTGAAGAACTGTAAGAAATCTCAAATCGCAAAGATTTTTGTTTGGTGTTAAACGCCGCACTCAGCAATATTCCAGCAATATGACGTTGGTCTGTAAATGATCGAGTCCGGTCCAGACAATCCAGTGATCAACAGCATGAGCATCGACGACTACCGTCTATCTCCGAATCCTTAATATTACATGTGCATCATTACATCCGGTACATCATGCTGAAGACTTTATCACCAACAAAACAACAAACCAAAACGTCACACTTCTTGGGCTTATGTTTATTCATATTTATTGATTCCCATACGCATATGTTCTGTATTTACGGGCAGTTGTTGTCCATGGTGAAATACGTGGGTGGCGATGATGAAAATCAATCCGAACACCAGTGGTAAATTTCCGCTATTAGAAACTGGTCACTACTGGCTAAACATAGACCTACATGTAACTGCAGAAGTCAATGATCTCACCTTTGGCGACGCAGTCGGTTAAATGAGGAATCCATGGCGCGAGCTTGAATTATTGAAATCGTTACTGCATTCTGTGTACGTCTTTGAATCCGTAGAAGGAACCACTGTTCACTTTTCATTCAGAATTCAGTGTCGATGCCTGGAGATCGAGATGGCTATTTCCACCAGGAAACATCCTTGATTAAAATTCAGACACCTTTTCCGACTGAATGAATTTTGATGGAGCTTAAAGGGGTTTTGTTTCTGATTCGTGAATTAGACAGTAGGTTGAAATATACGAAACCTTGTAGTAGTGTTTGAAGGTTAGGCGTGTTTGTAGTGAGTGAGTGAGTTTAGTTTTACTCCGCTTTTAGCAATATTCCAGCAATATCACGTCGGGGGACACCAGAAATGGCCTTCACACATTGTGCCCATGTGGGGCATAGAACCCGGGTCTTCGGCGTGACGAACGAACGCTTTAACCACTAGTCTACCCCACCGCCCCTGTAACTGTTTGATATGCGAAAATCACGCCGAAGACCCGGGTTCGATTCCCCACATGGGCACAGTGTGTTAAGCCCATTTCTGGTGTCCCTCGCCGTGATATTGCTGGAATATTGCTAAAAGCGGCGTAAAACTAAACTCAGTCAGTGATATGCGAAAACAAAATAACACACCCTCGAATATCGAGGGTATTTTGTCTTCATGCCGTCGGTCAATTTTTCCATTATAGTCTTTATTAGTCCGATTCGAAATGCAAATGCAACTAAATACAACTGCTTAATGAAAATACGCCCTCAACGAGAGAACGTTTTGTAATAATCTATTGATAATAGAGTATGCATGGTATTACGCAGCTATCAACAATATTCCAACAATATAACGTTGGGGGAGACTAGAAGCGGGCTTCACTCATTGTACCCATGGGTTGAATGGAACCGGGGTCTTCGGCGTGACGAGCGAACGCTTTAACCACTAGGCTACCCCACGGCTCTATTGACAATAGAGATGGGTAATAGAGGGTAAATATTTTTACGTCACATTTTGAAACGAAGATTTTATGGCGAATGGTTCCCGAGAATATAACAATGACAACAGAGCAGACACCCTAGATACACATAAAACACATTCTTGCATACGGTGTTAAACGAAAGAGCACCCAGACCGTGTTATTATCGGTTAAACACGGAGTCATCTGACAACATTGCGATAAAAAATATTCTTAAAACCCTGATATAGTTTTCAAAGCGCAAGTAGTCACACTAGGGATCTTCTGTTTGTACACACAATAAACAAATTCATCACAGCGCTGTAAAGGATCTTCACAAATATGACGTTTACACGCTATACATGTATGATTACAACCCGGTTCGTCTAATTTTTAGGGCCTGACTATACCTGGATTGTCTAACCACGCATGAGTGATTTCTACATGGGTCAGTGTCGTGCAAAAGACGAACTTTTAAGCAATGAAGTCTCTGTAATTGACTATACAGATAGAGTCTCACACCTTCTAGGAGAGTATGCCTTATATGATGTGGTGATATGATATTTACATGTGAAAAGTGGTGATAAGATGAATAAGGTGAAATAACTATAATACAAGTCAATATATGATCAAATATATTTATGTATATTTTTGAATAATGATATATATATGCTTTATATACATGTGTGTGTGTGGTGAAGTTGCAGATGTTTGTGCAACTAACTATAATATAAGTAAAAATATATGATAAAATATATTTCTATATATATGTGAACGTTATATATGTGTGAGATATATATGCAAATAAGTACAGTTAAATAATAAATACTAAAAATATACGATGAAATATATTTATGTTGTCTTTGTTTATATTTTGTGGTAACACCCCTGTTAAGTTTTAAATGGATTGGTCCACATGCCTACTTCGTCTAACAAGCAAAGTCACTCAACCCTGACTATGCCTGGGTCGTCTTATTGCTACTGTTTACCTGTTTTAAAAAATAGACGAAACAGGGTGATACCACATGTATATAACAGGAAATGCATGAATGAGTATTCTCGCACGTCATATACTTATATTACATGTATAAGTGGTGCCAATTAGCATCACCTGTCTCACTGATTGGAGCATTGTTATGTGAAAAAGCATTAATGGTAAATACGAGCTCACCTGAAAGCCATTAGTCGGGCCAAGTCCGATTTACTTAAAACTATCAGAGCAGAGCGACTGTCACCAAAACCTAAACTCGGGAATCGACGCCCTATATACTTCCCCCTGCATAATCTGTAAAATCTCCTTTGGAAGGGTCTTTGAATGATTCGTATAAAGTGGGAAATTATGGATGTCAGCTCCAGGATTATGAGAATCACGACATTTATTATTTTTTTTATTATAGGATATTTATATAGCGCACATATCCACGCACTAGTGCATGCTCAAGGCGCTGGTATTTTTTCCCTCGATCATTGGATGTCAATCTCAACGGCACATCGCATTATCAATCTCAACTCCCTGGGGAGTATACAACTCTTGCAGCCACTAGGCGCACCGAGTTATTGTGGCTTTCTCATCCTAACAAGGTACCCATTCACAGCTGGGTAGACTGGGACACATAGTCACAGTACTTTGTCCATGTTCACTGCACGTTGCTGTACCCGCAACTAGGTGTTTGCACGTATTCATGTGGCCACCATCTGGTCATATACCAACGGATTCGTGGGTTCTTTTAAGTGCACAGGGTTGGGTACTGTACACTAGGGGTTGTGACAACACTGAAAGAGTCTGCACACAAAGTTGACTCCAAGGTTTTTACACCCGGTCACAGGTGGGCTCGATCCCGACACCTCAACCTCGCTGGATCACTATTTTCGGAGTATTCTTATTCTTCCATCAGGTGTATTATAGACTAGGTTGGTTTGTTTGTGGTTGTTTGTTTAACACCACAAGCAGTATTCCAGCTATGTGACGGCGGTCTGTAAATAGTACTGAATAATCGAGTCAGGACCAGACGATCCAGTGATCAACAGTATGAGCATCAATCTACGCAATTAGGAAACGATGACATGTGTCAACCAAGCCAGAGAGTCTGCCCCACCCGATCCCGTTTGACAGATAAAACAGATATATGTATATGTGAAAGCAACAATACTAAAAAACAATGAATGGTTCATAGATAATGTATTTTCTTAATGTAACGATGATAATGTTGATTAAAACAGATTATTAACGTTAGCATTATTCTAAAAAAAAGTAAATAAAAACGTTCTATAGGTATTGTTGAAAAATGCATTGACATGGTTAACCCCCTGTCTTATTGAACATATATATATACGTGACAGCTGTTCAAGTCACGTTGACCCTTTGGTTTAACACAGACCAAAAAGAGTTTAAACGCATAATGATACTATCCAAAACTGTAAAAAGATTAATTAGACGGTAAATACAAACTGATAGTCATCATCCGCAAAAGGAAATATGTGACCTTAAACTCCTAGTTGACATGGACGAGACCTATTTAAATGACTCACTTTTTCGACCTGTCCCATTTTAAAGCCGCCAACATCAGTTATACCAATCTACAAATTGTGATTCGGTTATTCCCCGCATGCAATATGTTTATATGATTTAATATAAAGCATACTTTATGCACGAACCTAGCTAAAAGTCGTTATTCACCGTTCGCCAACACGCTCTAATTGCAGTCGCGTCCGCGAGTGCACCGACATCGAGTGGATATTTTTAGTTGTTTACTTCTAGAGAGACGCATATTTTGTGTCAGCGAGAACCGGCACCCATGTTTGTAACGGTACATCTGATTGGCTGGTTCTCCGTGACCTAAATGATGTGTACGAGCTGCCGAACAAACAAACTACATCGTAAATTGATATGACAACACACTGTACAAAACCTTTGACATTTGCACAACCACTATCATTTCACTTGACCAATACCGTCCTTGTATTGTCCGTTTTTTCGCCAGAAAATCTGTTGGTATTTTTTTGCACGAGAATCTTTCAGCCAATCAGCGACTTGTACTTGAGCATTCTGAAGTGGGTCATGGCTTAGGGGGCAAATATAGGTTAGTCTGTCACATCTCGTGCTGGCGAGAGAAGCACGGACGAAACGAGCGTGCGCTCTCAAGTCCCGGTGTCTAGTTTTTAGGAACATGGACATGTATTCGAAGGTTCCATGGACGACTGTGAGTTGATTCGATCACAACCCAAGATATTTCGTCTCGTCTGACGTGAAGCGACCAGTCTGTGAGGAAGCCCATTCATCGCTCGTTGTACAATAGGCCGACATTACGTTAGACCGTGCGCTTGTTACAAGCCAACTTCCGCGATAACTCAACATCATTGTAACCGCTCAAACATTTTGTCTGCCATTGCTCTTGTTGGTGAATCTACATTAGTCTGTGAAATGACAGATATCTGTTCAACCTTTGAATTCCAGTGTAGAAATTCGCCAATAACGGAATTCCAACAACACAGTGTTAGGGTTTGTCAATGAGGACAACCTTACTCTCTGTACAAAGGAATCTGAAGAAGCACCGTTCAGTCTAGAGTATGACCACGATGGGCAAAGAAGCTAGTTTGGACGGTTTAGGTAAGTCATCAATGTTTTTTTATGTCGTAAATGTGAATTTTAAATTTCGTTTTTTAACTGACATATTTAGCCCCACATCATTGTTATTTTTTTGAGTGGGCGGGGCACATAGATCGCATGTTGGCATTACGTAATAGTTGGTCGGGAGCAGTAATTGACGTTTTTTTCATTTAATTCTTTGTTGTCCTAGACTTACCAGTATCGTATTAATCTCTTTAAAAAATAAAATGTAATTTTATCCTCGAAGTAAAGTCATCTGTTGAGTTGTCTGTCAGGACCAAGTTAGTGTGATACAATGTATATAGCACGGTATTGATTCACTATAGCATGGACGTTGATTTGTCTACTGTTGTATAATGTGTGTTAATGTTTCACATTAATCAATTATTGTCACATGTGGTTGACAGTTGATTTTTGTAAACAAGTCCAACAATGTTACTATACATATTTACACCACCACAAGACATGTTATAAATACATTTCAAACGAAATATTTATATAAATGTGACATAGTATCCTTAGTCACTATACAGTATCACACAGTATATTTTATAAATGTTTTTGTTATTATTGATATTCCTTAACAGATTTTGTAGTAAATTTGTTATATTGACTGAAACTATAACTATGTGCAGATATTTCAAGGTGTGATTGTTTACTGTCACCAGCACATGATACATACACTGTGTTCATGTGGTAGCATGTTTTTATTTAACGATCTCGCCTGTTGCCATGGTAACAAGAATCTAAATGACCTCACATCAAAATACAGGTATTTTGAAAAGAAAAATGCGTGATCTTATTCACAATACAGTGAAGTTCTGTATTATGTATATATTTAGGAAACAAACACATTTCAAGTGTTTAGTTATGTTATTAGGGTATCGACACACAATATATTGTTCGTTGTCCATGTTGAATTTTATAAATCGTGCAAGATGTTCTGACAGAAAAGGATGGGATGTAAGTAAGCAGGATGTAAGTAAAAGATGTATGCTGTAAATAGATGCCAGTCAGTTGTTGACCATCGTGCCTAGCCACACAGGATGGAAAATACATAAGTAGATAAGTACAGACAGTCGAAGTTAGGGAGGGAAGCTGTGGAATATTTTCAGCCATGTATCTCAAGGTCCGCCATCTACAGCTGATTGTCTCATATCCGTGAAAATGACCAAATTTGGATAAACGTATCATTTTGTTTGCTTTGAGGTGACTCATGTTTGTCTCGATCACCCTTTCTAGATTTAGGGACTTTTAATAATTTTATGCACACATTTCTTACATGAAATGTGAAAATATTTGATTTCAAAGATATAAAGCTTAAAAGTTGATAAATTGGGACAAAATGACATGTTTTCCATATTTCACATAGGTAAAGAAATGTTGGTGGATTAATTGGGATTTTTTAATATGGTATCGGATAAGAATTTTGGTGTAAAATGAATAGTAATAGGCTTGATTGTTTCAAAACTAAACCTGTCTGCATAATACAAAATATAAATGGTTTAAAGGTTTGTATATCCTTGATATGTCACTCAGCCTGGTCTGTTGCAATAGAGACTGTCCGGCTTACCCCTTCAGTTGTATGTTTCAACAATACACAGTCTCAGGCACTGTTGTGAAAATATTATTTTCTGCATATAATATAACTGTAACAAAAAAATGAGCTATTTACAATATCAATAAAATTGAGTGGTAAAGAAATCAGGAACTGCAATAACGACTATGTTAAGTACCTTGGCGGCAACACAAGTCCATTTTCAACATTCCCAACCTGGTATTGATCGTTAGATAATATCATATCCTCTGCAATGGCTAGTTTTTCATTAACTTTCGTAAATACATGTCAAGAATGCTCTTGTGTTGGCGCCCTTGTTTCTCCTGTGCAGCTTCACTTCCTGTTTCAAGTCTATGTTTAATTTGTGAGAGGCTTTTCCTGTTTTCTCCGTAGAACAACAGGAACATGTTGGGACTTAACACAATATCGCTAGAATATGTGCTAAGTTTGTTTCTTTCTCAATTATCAGTTCATCATTGTGTAATGAAGATTTTGATGTAAATGTCAAAAAAGTCTTAAGTGCTTAATTATTTAAAATAAGCTGTATTTTAGAAAATATTTTTAGTTATATTCTATTTTTGTGAATATGAGATGATTTGTAAATCTCATTCTTTTCGGTGATAATTGAAAATATGTTTCTGAATAATTTTAAGCTATCATTGAAGTGGAGAAAAATAATTCTACCTTGTTATATATGAAAAAAGATTTTTTCAGTTAAAAAGTATCCACATGCATTGTTGTATGCAATCCCAAAGGGTGTTTTTATATCGTTCAGTTGGTGATCATCATTCTGAGGTGACGTCTACAGACTCAGCGAAAATGTGTCAAACTGTTTAATTTCAATTACAGTTAAACACCTTTCTGGATACAGGAAATATTGTGGGGCGGTGGGGTAGCCTAGTGGTTAAAGCGTCCGCTCGTGACACTGAAGACCCGGGTTCGAATCCCCACATGGGTACAATGTGTGAAGCCCATTTCAGGTGTCCCCTGCCGTGATGTTGCTGGAATATTGCTAAAAGCGCGTAAAACTAAACTCAGTCAGTCAGGAAATATTGTAAATAAAAATAAAACTGGTTGATGTCGAAAGAGTGATGAATTGTCACAAGTAAGTAAAAGCAGTGTTAAGCAATTTTGTAAGTGTATTGAGCAGAATGTCGAGTCAGGCAATACCAATGAAAGATGATATGTTGGTAACTGAAATTTTGAATATTTCTGTAACAGTTTAACAGATCCTAAGACTGTACCAAGACTGGAGTGAGTGAGTGAGGTTTTACGCCGCTTTTAGCAATATCACGGTGGGGGACACCAGAAATGGGCTTGACACATTGTGCCCATGTGGGGAATCGAACCCTGGTCTTGGACGTGACGAGTGAAGGCTTTAACCACTATAGGCTACCCCACCGCCCCTGGACCCACACTGGGGGTCTCAGTCAAAGGGGAGGTTGATGGTGGGTTGAACTGGAGAGTTCATTAGTGGGTGTTGGATAGTATTAGAGGGTTTTAATGAAAAACCACAAGAGAATAATCAATCAGTTTATAATACACGGAGGTAGCATGGTTGCAGCTCTACTGGCATTTTGTTGGGTTTCAGTCCTATTTCACACTGAAGGGGAGGTGGGGTAGCCTAGTGGTTAAAGCGTTCGCTCGTCACGCCGAAGACCCGGGTTCGATTCCTTACATGGGTACAATGTGTGAAGCCCATTTCTGGGGTCTACCGTCGTGATATTGCTGGAATATTGCTAAAAGCGGCGTAAGACTAAAACTCACTCACTCACTCAACACTGAAACATGGTGGTGTCTGCTTAGGAAAGTGACAGTTTGATTGTATGAAAGTCCAAACAACAGTGACTGGGTAATCGTTGGGATGAGAAGGACTGTAAGACTTCTAGCACCCCATGGGGCAGTTTGGGCTGTATACTCCTAAGGGAGCTTAGAATGTAATTTGGGGGGCTCACTGGTCCATTGGCTGGGGTAGTGATCATCTACAATGGGTAGATATGGTGCATTATGCTCATATAAAAATAATGGATTTGTATTGTGCCTAGTTTCCACACATGTGCACAACAATGCTGATTATTATCATTACCCCAAATAACCCAAGCTGCCTCTGAGACGCTATAAGGTTAGTAGTCACGTGACTTATCCCACCGGGTACCCATTTACGAATGTTTATCATTATTTTTACATAGTCACAGTAGACAGTAGACATTATGGTAGATAATATATATATATAATACCAGCGCCTTGAGCATGCACTAGTGCGTGGATCTATGCGCCATATAAATATCCTATAATAATAATATATATATATATATTGCAACACATTCCTAGAGAACAAATGCGATGTACAACAGAGGTTCAATTAACATGCCCATAAACAAATGAAGTATGCATACAGAAGCAGCAAATAGTAATAGGAAGTAATGAATAAATTATTGTAACTGATGGATATGCTGATATATCATGATTTACAGGTCTAAATCATAGTGAGTGAGTCAGTCTAGTTTTATGCCGCTTTTTGCAATATTCCAGTAATATCACGGCAGGTTACACCAAAAATGGGCTTCACACATTGTATCCATGTGGGGAATCAAACCTGGTCTTTGGCATGACTTGCAAATGCTTTAACCGCTTGGCTACCCCACGGCCCCTGTTTAAATTATAAGCATGAAATTAAATGGTATGGATTGAGGAGAGAACATTATTGGAGAAAACAAACTGGAACCATATTTCACAGTCCGTCACCAGCAATTCACAGTACATGTGCAGTAATCATGTGTTGGGGTAATAACTGTATATGGTAAAGGGGCTGGGGTACCATATTTTAGAGCGCTCTCCTCACCCCAGGTTCAATCCCCATATGGGCACAATGTGTGACATTTCAGGTGTCCCCATCATATGTTGCTGGAATATTGCTAAAAGCTGTAGTCAGTCAGTATATGGTAAAAGTATGTGCAAAATCCTTCAGAGACTGCTAGTCCAACCATGGCTCTTAACAGTATTTTCATCAGAATTTATTGACTGTTATTAAATGAGCTTAATAGACCAAACAGAATTTTACTTGATTTTGTCTTCAGGCTATTGGCTGAAGTCCCATATTGTAATGACATGATTGATGAGACTGAAACGTTATTGTTATGTAAACATATAGCACATATACAATTTTTACATCTTTTTCTAAGCAACTATAAAAATGGACAACCTTCTTTCCACAGAAAAGTGTCCCATATACCTCATTTAGAAAGAATATGATAAGAAATCTTTATAAAACCAATTTCCACAGAAAAGTGTCCCATATACCTCATTTAGAAAGAACATGATAAGAAATCTTTATAAAACCAATTTCCACAGAAAAGTGTCCCATATACCTCATTCAGAAAGAACATGATAAATATCTTTATGAAACCAATTTCCACAGAAAAGTGTCCCATATACCTCATTC